TATGACTCGACGAATCGCTGATAATATCCAGCCAAACCCATGAAAGAGCGTACATCCGTTGTGCAACGGGGTTCCGGCCAATCCACGATGGCTTGGATCTTGTCCGCTAAGGGACGAATGCCTTTCGGCGTAACATAGTGGCCTAAATACTCAAGTTCCTGCTTGGCGAACTCGCACTTGTCGCGGTTCGCTTTGTACTTGGCCAGTCGCAAACGATTCAAAACAGCGAGAAGGTGTGTGATGTGCTCGTCCAACGTCCTGCTATAGACCAAGATGTCATCGAGGTAGATGAGGACGATGCGATCGAGCAAGTCGCGAAACTCAGTCGTCATAGCTGCTTGAAAAGTCGCGGGGGAATTGGTGAGGCCAAAAGGCATGACAACCCACTCAAAATGCCCGTACCGCGTCTTGAACGCGGTTTTGTACCGATCTTGAGGCTGGATTTCAATCTGGTGGTAGCCCGACTTTAAGTCCAACTTTGAGAAGTACGTCGCGCCGCCTAACCGCCCAAGGAGGTCATCAATCCGAGGGAGAGGGCCGGCGTTCTTTACGGTTTGTGCGTTAAGTTTGCGATAATCGATGCATAACCGTAGATCTTTGTTCTTCTTCCGGACGAAGAGAACAGGGGCACCGTAGGGCGAACAACTAGGGTGAATCCAGCCCTTGTCGAGAAGGTCATCGATTTGTGCGCGAAGCACCTCGAGTTCCTCTTCGCTCATGCGGTAGATACATCCACGCGGAGGGACGGCGCCAGCCTCGAGAGTGATCCCGTGACGTATGGGCCGATCCGGAACCGTTCCGGTGGGAGCCTCAAAGACGTCTCTATACTCGTCCAAGAGGTGAGTGATGCGTGGGTCCGGCGGTGACGCGGCTGGTCCGACCGGCGAGGGGAGAGCATGCAAGAATACAAGGTCCATCTCCTCGACGTCATTCCAAGCAATGGCGTCGCGAATTCTCACAACTGAAACCACGTAACAAGCAATCGAAGTGTGAGGGGTCGCGACTGTACATGGGACTAACACTCCGTTCCGATCACGGATGTGAACGGTTCGGTCATGAAAGTTCACCGGATGATCGGCGCTACGCAACCAAGACATGCCTAGAATCATGTCGAACTTGGTGTCGAGGATGTCAAAAGACACCGGCTCGCACACAAGTGGCACAAAGATACCGGGACGCCGTCAACGCATCGGTCAATCGACTTTTGCGTGCGGCCGTCCGCGAGTGTAACTTGCGTAAGTTGCGTCTTTCTTCGAACGCGCGGGCCAAG